ACAAAAATTATTTTTTGCAGAAATTTTTAATTCATTTTTGAATTCAGAACCATTTTTAAGTATAAAATTTTAAAAAAAAAACAGTAACGGTCAAAATGACCGCTTTGGGGGCGTTCTAGGTCATGAAAATTTCCGGACGTTCTAGTGTTAAGCTAATTTTCAATTTTTCATCATGACGGAAGTGTTTGTCAAACTTGAGTTTAGAATACGAAATCTAGCAAATTTAATTTCCTAATTTCCTAAATTTTATCTGCTAATACAACTCGATCTTTAGGTTCATAAAACACAAAAAAACGTTTCTCAAACTGAAAGTGGGTTTCTAGAGACACAGCTCCAATAGAAAAATGTTAGAAAATTAAATTTCCAACATGTCATGGTTGAGAAATCAAGTTTAAGAAATGCCTTGATCATGGTGAGAATGCGTATTTGTATAAGCTCGTATAGGTACGTACAATGGTGTATTGTCCATCCAAAAAAGAAATGATATATGACTATTTTTTGAATAACTTTCGACAGGAAAGAGCTAGAGAGCTCTGGTTTTCACCATTCGAAAGAGGAGACTTGGGGACATGTTTCAGTAACCAAAACTTTTTCAGAAGACTTTTTCTGAAACAGATGTTCGACGAGTTCTTGGAAAAACCTTTGGAAATTTCTGCACACGCCCTGATTTCCCAAAGAACTCATCCAAAATTTGTTTCAGAAAAAGTCTTCTGAAAAAGTTTTGATTATTGAAACATGTTACCAAGTCTCCTCTTTCGAATAGTGAAAACCAGAGCTCTCTAATTCTTTTCTATCAAAAGTTATTTCAAAAATGTAGTCCATATATCATTCTTTTTTTGGATGGACAATATATAGAAGACTACTGATCTTTAGATATATAGTTCGAATCTCTGCACGAGCTTTGTTTCTTTTTTTCCTTTGCGATTTTAAAACTCATTACATCTCTTTTTCTATCTAGCGATTCTTTTCTTTTTGAACAGCTAGATGAATCGAACGATTATTCTAATTGCTAAATTCATCTAGTTGACATTGTTTTTCTATCAATCATAAATTCTTACTAGATGCATTGGGTATTGTATCGTGTAATCGGGTCAAATCCAATAATGTTTACTCTTTTATCTAAATACTTTCGCTGGAGAATCGGATGATACTCCAGCGAATATATTTAGATTTTTTTCTCTTAAGTTTTCGTGCTTGAGTGGTCTCATGACGATGTAGCTAAAAACCGTGAGATCAAAGATGAATTATTTGTCTCCTATCATATTTTTATATTGTCAAAAATTTATAGTCCTCGATCAAAATCGTACGTTTAATTCCTATGGAATTCTATAGTGTGTCTATCGTGCTGTTATTATTCAGTTAAAACTGACATGTGTGAATGTGAGGGAGTGAGGAAGAAAGCAAGTGAAGGTGTGCATACTTCTCTGTCTCAAATTATATTTTGTTTTTGATATTTTATATACTTTTTTTCTTTCTTTCTATAAAATACGAGGCATTTCATTTTCCAGCCCTTGAACTTTTTTCTTAATAAATATTGTATTTGACGTTTGTATTCATGAGTCATTTGTCCTACAAAAAAGTAGTTTATGTAAACATCGTCACTACACTCACCTCCCTCACGTCTCTTATGTGTCATGAAATACTATATGCATGTGTAGTTTATCTCTTGTTCTGTGGTGCAATCTTTTTTTCTTTCGTTCGCACAATACGTCAATCGAAAAAATTCATTTTTTCTTTTTTCTTTTCTGTTCTGTTATCGCCTACAATTTCATTTTATATATAAGCATTTGCAAAAAGTTAGTAATGGCATAAAAACACAGTGTAACACAAACTCCTAGGTCAAATATTTGTATATCATAGCCTAGAAAGTTTATTTTGCATACCTAGAAATTATATATTTTCTTCTTATCTCTCTTATCACATTAATTATATATAAAAAATATTTTACAGTAATGTGTACCGGTAATGTTCCACCATCTAATACACAAACGACGACAACACAATCATCATCATCAACATCATCATCATCGATAAGATCGACATATGATACAACATCATCATACAATATTAAAGATGGTAGTGTTATTTCAGATAATAGCATTGAATATATTGATACATTAAGTAATTATTCATCAAGTTTTGATGATGAAGTAATATCACAACAACAAGAAATAGAAAAAAAAATAATTGAATTTGGTCCAATTAAAGTTCGTCCACGAAAAAATCCGGCACCAACATTAGCTACAGGACGTCGATCAAAATATGAAATTTTATCACCAGATCAAGAACAAAAACGACAAATTCGTCGTGCAAGAAATCGAGCAGCTGCTGAAAAAGTACGTGTTCGACGATTAGGTATTGAAGAACAATTAACTAAAGAAATTAAAGATTTAGAACAACAAAAATCATATCTAGTCAATAATATAAATGAATTAGAGAATAAAAAATTACTTTTACAAACACGATTTATGACACATGAATATTTATGTATGAACAATAATAAAATTGATGGTACAATATCATTAAATGAAAATGATTTTTCATTAATCAATAATCAATTACAATCAAATGATAATAATAATAATAATAACAAAGTAACGAATCTATATAATACAGCTAATGATTTTCAATCAATGGATACTACGGATATATTCTCAAATACTTCAACATTAATTCAATTATCATCATCGGAAATAAAAAATGATTTATTATTTGAATTTAATGATTTAGATAATATTCTTAATAATCCACAATCTTCTTATGTGTATGCTGAGGATGATGAATTTAATGAATTATTAACTATGTCATAAAAATGGAAGAAAAAAGAAAAAATAAACAATTAAATAAACATTGTTGTATATTTTGTATTTTAAAATATTTTATTTTTGTTAAAATTTATTAGACATTTAAATGGACATAGATATCAGAACTAAAAACAAAAAAAAACAAAAATAAATTTCACACAATAAAAATTTATTAACATTGTGCGAATAATACAGTAACTCTATGATATTTAAATGTCTAACAAAAAAAGTCTAAAAAGATATATTTCTATCTAGTCAATTCTTAGATGTTTTTTTTACTTTAAATTATATTTTGCTAAACATTTTTATTTTTATTTCACACCTATAGTAGATTATTTCTTTTTATATATTCTTATAAAAATATTAAACATATCGTTTAGATAAAATTTAATACTTTTATTTATTATCCATATGATATAGAGTAAACTGTACAGAACAAAAAAAAACAACAATTTTTCATTTTATTTTTATTCAACGGTAAGTTATTGTACAATAGGTGTATTATACCCTAGACAAAAAACTTTTCTGCAATTCTGATAAGAATCTTTCTTACAAGATTGAAGAGAATTCTTTTATACAAGATTATGCAGGAAACTGAATGAAGTTTGATAAGAATCTGATAAAAAAAGTTATAAGAATTTCATAAGAAAGTGATAAAAAGTTCTTATCTGGTTTTTTATAAACGTGTTACAAAATATTTATTCTTACGGAATTTTTATAAGAAGTTTTTGACATACATTGTGCTTGCAAGACTTTTTAGAAGAGTTAACTTTAAATTATTCTGGACAACGAGTAATTTAATGATTTTATTTTATTCAGCGAAACAGTAAGAAACTCAATGTTTGACTATGAGAAGTTTATGTTTCATAGTGACTTTGAAGAGCGTGCTCTATCTTTAGTTGTTGATATACACAGACAAGGAAAATTTAAAACTGGTTAATCAGAATGTAATAGCGAGATGATCTTTAGTGTCACAGTTCGTAATAGCTCAATGGATAAGAGCACGACATGGCATACCGTAGATAGGCCCTAGGTTCGAATCCTACACGGATCATAAGATTTTTTTCAAATTTTTTCTGCACAATTCAAATGCTCCACTAACGTAGTTTAACTTCTTATCAAACTCCATTCATTTTCCTGCGTAATATTGTATAAGAATTTGACAAGAATCAGGTAAGATTTTTACGTGAATCTTATTGAATACTTAAAAGTTTCTTATAAGATTCTTAACAGATGCTTATATAAGAATCGACGTCTAAACGAAATCGTTTCCTAGAAAATCCTCTGGATTTCGGCTACAGTTTTAAAAAAATATTCAAATTTGTTCTTGAACTTTTTTAAAATCTTTAATAACTCGGCTCAGTTAAATATGGTAAAAACTTGGCGATCGACCATTCGATAGAGAATCGAAAACTGAACAAAAAAATGAAGGGTTTTGCCCAACTGTCGGCGCTCGATTTTCTAGAAAACCAACTGAAAAATTTCAAAATTTTATTTGAATTAGCACAAAAAATTGTCTGTGATCCTTAAATATCACCTTTTCAAAACTTTTTTAGACAGTAGTGTGGATTTTCACAGAACTAATGTGATTTGGTTTAAAAAACATTCATAACTTATACTTTAAAATGTCTGTTATTCTATGAAATTTTACAATGGAAGGATGATATTTGGAGATTATAGATAGTTTTTTATGCTCTATAAAATGACTGATTCAAAAGAAAAAATTTAAGTTTTCTAGAAAACTAAGTGCCAAAAGTTGATAGACATCTACGTTTGTTTAAAATTCATTCGTTTGTATTCGTGAAAAATATTGATAGTCAGAAATTTCATGAGAAGCCTTGTGTATGCACCAATTGTTTTCATTTATTAATTCAAGTACATCAATTTACATCTGTTCTATTAATCTAGGTAAATGAAAATGTCATCTGTAAACGACACATATTTAGCATTTAAATTATGCTGTTTTTGTTCTACTATATGTTGTTTCTACTATATGTTCTAAACATAATTCCTTCCGACGCTTACACACCTCCATTAGAAATTTGTTCGAAAAATGATTATTTTTGTATTTTATTCTTTATTCGTGTACTCAAACCATTCTTATAGTCATTATAGAAATTTGTTTTATATTTAATAGAAGAAAGAGAAAAATAATATGTTTAGAATATATATATAAGCCTAGACGATAACGAACTGTATATTTATTTCAAATATTTTTGCTTTAGGTAAAAATATAATTTAATAGGATTAATAGTGATAAAAGTAATATATTGATAAGTTTTATATTTTTTTTGCAATTAGAGAAATGAGAACAAATATTTTTTTTTATTTTTTTACCTCGAGACAAAAGGTGAAAAGTATCTTTTTTTACATGTCAAATATTCATAATGAAAATAAATGAAAAAAAGAATAACTGTAAAATTATGAAATCTAATTATTAAAACACTTATCTACGTTTGCACATCTTGACATGATAGTTAGACATGAAAAAGATATATCAATAAATTAGTTATGAGTAAGAAAATCCTTTTAAATTGATTGATAATTTTAACTACATCTGTTGCCTCTAATGCGAACGAGAAATAAAAGTTCGCAATAGATTAAATTTCTACAAAGAATCACGCTCTTAGATATAAAAAGGAAGTGCTTATAATATTTCATTTTTTGAGTAAAAATATGACGAATTTATAAGAAAAATAGCTTTTAAAATTGTGTCTTTTGCCAAGAAGTACGTTTATACAGTGTTCTTAGAACAAGAATTGTCAAAGAAACTCAGCGTCTTTCGCTAACTATCCACATTTGTTAATTCAAAACATTTTTACTAGTAAACGATCGCATATCTATTATTATAGATAAAGAATCACAATGTTTTAAACATAGGATATGAAATTGTTCGAGTCACGTTGTTCTTAGTGTACAGATAAGCGCTTCGCTTGTACCAGATCGTTGTCAAATACGCTCCTTACGTACCCCAACTCCCTATGGACTAGACTAAAAATTCTGAGTCCATAAAGCGTTCTGTTACCTATTTTTTCTTACCAAAAGCTGACCAACTGTGAAACGAACATTTTACAGGATGAATAATAGATTTTCACAATAAACATCGATTCGTCGCCCAAATGATCATGTCAGAAGAAATTTCAGTCGTAATTGTGGCCAACAGTGTTTCTAATGAGAATTTTAAACAAAGTGGTTTTCCACAATATATCACTACATTTTCCATGTTTTCCCTGCTAAAAACAGAGTGGAAATCGAATTTTCTAAGTAGAAAACCACTTTGTTCTTACGGGAGCCGCTAATCATTGGAAACACTGTTGGTCAAGACTATGGTCGTATTTTTATTTTATGGCTTTCTAACTTCATTTCCTCCCTGTGAAATACGAAATGTCTTTCTTAGATCGATGGTTATTCTTCTCAGTTTTTCGATGTGTATTTCCATTATTGAGGAGTCTGTTATGTTATACCAATTTCCTCCCAACTTTTTCTTTAGCGTTACCAAAAACTGCGTGCCCATTGTACAATCGAGTTTGAATTTTAACCAGAGACGGATATTATTCCAAACAAATCTGTTTCACAGAGACGGGAACGACATACTTTTAAGCCCAACGTCTCTCTGTGTTTTCTGTACACTACACTCCAGTCTTCATCCTATCATGTTACTATCTCTCGAAAAACATGACTGAATGGAGACTGAGGTCTGCAGACAACTCAGAGAAAATCATGTCACACACTCATGATTAAACACATGTCATTTACGATTGTCTAGCGCTGGTAAAAATTTTTTCTTTCAACCGATCATTGGCTGCAATATTTCCCGTTAAGGTCATCAGCATTTTCAATACATATGTCAGCACGCGGTAGCAGAACGGGTATATCTGATTAAATCAACTTTATTTTGGATAGCCCTTTGTATTATATAAAACGAAGAAAAAAGATACTTCAGCAAATAATCAGTTTTCTTTTATTTGTAAGGTTTCGCCTAATGACCTCGTGATCGGAATCAGTAGACAAGAAATTTTCATTTAATAAATGTACATTCGAAATATGAGTCACTCTTGATTGTTATTATTAGTTGGTTCTCTCACCAATCACTCGGTGGGTGTTATCCTCACTACTGGGACAGTAGTGAAATATTACGCTAGTGGTGAGGATAAGGAACAGCAAGTGATTGGTGAGAGAATTAAATAACAATAATAATCAAGACTGACTCATTTGATCCTTAGTTTAAGGTGAAAAATTTTATAACAGAAGTCAAGATTAAAAATCATCTTTTTGCACGTTGAAATGATCACTTCAAGATGCAAGAGTGACTCGTATTCCGAATGTACATTTATTACATGTTTTCTGTTTAATGACAAGATAACGATCCTCTGCATTCACTTGGTCTTTTGACTTTCGGAACTTGTATCTAAGAACAACCTTTCATGACTTTGAGTCAAAAACAACGCCCACACCTTCCTTTGGCCAGTATTCGGTGCGGATTATCCTAATTATGTTATGAATTTTCTCTAATTGGATGTGTAAGCTTCGTAATCGAATATAAATCTAAAAAGTTTTCTCGAGACCCTTCCAAAGATCTCTACACAAAGGTAATAAAATATCTCTTAACTGAAAATAATACTCGCAGAGAATTGGCTTTAACATCTCTGATTCCATGTCAAAAATAACCAATGAAATATAACGCTATAATTTTCTTCTTTTTTCTCCCACATGTCAGCATCCTAGCTTACGAGGGAACCTCCTTAGGTGCTAAAAACCTTTTTGAATGAGACTATTCCCAAAATGTAGGCCATCATGGGCTATGAAGAATCCAAACTTGACTCGGGCACAATCAACTTTTTTGCTGAGATATCGAATTTTTACTCTAATTTTCCCCATGAGACCTGGATTTCAAACAAAACCAGAGTCTCGACTTTTTTTGAACTTGTCACATATTGTAGCCCAGATCATTTGTAGCTCGATGAAAAAAGGCCGAGCTGAAAACCTCTTTCCGCTACGGTGAAAGA